TGTCCATGGTAATGACCTCTCTCTGCACAAGCAGAAGCCTGAGCTGCCCCTACCGGGGGGCCATCGCCCCTGCCGTGTGGGCACCACTGCCCCCTGCAGTCCCGGTCCTGGGTATTTATCCTTTCTCTCCCCATAGCCCTCCCCAACCCATAAACAATGCCTCTAGTCTAGTTAATTGTGTGTTTCCTTTGTAATTGCTCTCGGGGCGGGGGTGGGGGGGAGGTTTCTTTAACTTTTTGAACTAATTTTAGGCATTCAGAAGAGTTGCAAAAATAGTACAGAGGCTCTGTATACCCTTCATAAGGTTCCTCTGATGCTAACATCTTATAAAACCGTGAGATGGGGCGCCCAGGTGGCTCGCTAGGTGGAGTGTCTGACTCTTGATCTCGGCTCAGGTCATGATCCCAGGGTTGTGGGATCAAGCCCCTTGTCAGACTCCGTGCTGAGCGTGGAGCCTGCTTGCGATTCTCTCTCTGCCACCCCCCCCCCCCATCTCGCACAGTCTCTAAAAAATTAATATAACTGTGAGTTGTCAAAGTATACAGATTTTAAACTTATTTAAATTATATTATATACCTCATTCTGTTTTTTACTTTTTTCCACTAAGTGCTTTAAAAAAATTTTTTTAATGTTTATTTTTGAGAGGCAGAGAGAGAGACAGAGCATGAGCAGGGAAAGGGCAGAGAGAGAGATACACAGAATCCGAACCAGGCTCCAGGCTCTGCGCTGTCAGCACACAGCCCGACCCAGGGCTTGAACTCGTGAAACATGAGATTATGACCTGAGCCAAAGTCAAGATGCTTAACAGACTGAGGCATCTGAGGACACCCAACCACTAAGCACTTTTTTAAAAAAGATCTGAGGGGTGCCTGGGTGGCTCAGTCAGTTAAGTGCCGACTTCAGCTCAGGTCATGATCTCGAGGTTTGTGAGTTTGAGCCCCGCGTGGGGCTCTGTGCTGACAGCTCAGAGCCTGGAGCCTGTTTCAGATTCTGTGTCTCCCTCTCTCTCTGCCCCTCCCCTGCTCATGCTGTCTCTCTCTCTCTCTCTCTCTCAGAAATAAAACACTAAATTAAAAAAAATTTTAAATATAAAAAATACATTAAATATCTGGGTTACTAAGTGTGTACTGTTTTCTTTTATCCTTTTCCTTCACATGATTTAAAAAATACTGCCCGATGTGTATCCTAGATGAAGCTACAAGTAACGACACTCTCTGTGCATGCTAACACTGATGTGCCTGCCGGAACTTTCCACACTTTACCCCACCTTCCTGCGGCACACTTTACGTACAGTTAAGGCTCCCCCACCTAAGTGCTTGAGGAGTTTGGGCAAATGCACACACGTGTGCAGCGGACGCGCAGTCAGGGGCACACAGGCTCCGGGGAGACTCCGTGACTGCACGTGCAGGGGGGCAGGGCGAGGGGCGAGGGGCACGGGCACAGAGGCAGGGCTCTGGGCTCTGCATCTCCTGGGTGGCCGTCCCTCATCAGCCCGTGGGCTGTTATCCCTCCAGGGGAAGCTGCGGCCAAACACAAGTTGGTAAGAATCTAACATCCGTTCTTCTCCCTCGTGGATCATGCCTTTGGTGTTAAATCTACAAACTCACGGTCGTGCCCGACGCCATCCAGGTTTTCTCCCATGTGACCTTCTTGAGGTTTAACAGATCTGCATTTTACATTTAGCTTTAAGAGCCACTGGAATTCACATTTGTGAGTGGTGTGCGGGCTCCGTCTGGATTCTCTTTTTTTTTAATTTTTAAATGTTTTATTTCTGAGAGAGATAGAGACAGTGTGAGCAGGAGAGGGTCAGAGAGGGAGGGAGACACAGAATCAGAAACAGGCTCCAGGCTCTGAGTTGTCAGCACAGAGCCCGACGCGGGGCTCAAACCCACAAAGTGCGAGATCATGACCTGAGCCACCCAGGAGCCCCTCTCTCTCTCTTTTTTTTTTTTTTTTAACGTGGAGGTCCGATTATTCCAGCACACTTGTGAAGAGACCATCAGTTCCCCACTGAATGCACTTTTTTTCTCTTGGTCAAAGATCAGTTGGCTGTATGGGTGGGTCTATTTCTGGGCTCTCTATTCTGTTCCACTGACCACTTCTCGTGCCAATTCCACAGCCTTGACATTTCATTCTTTTTCTGTCTTCCGTTTCTCAGTTCAGACGTTCCAATTTTCCATTCATTGTACTATCTCTTAGGGCTTGGCTAAATCGTTAAGGTCTGTGATAATTTCAACACGTGTTATCTTTCCGTTGGCATCTATTCAATGCCTTTGCCCTTGCACTTGAGATATTCCTGTTCGTTCACGTGGCAAGCAATTTTGGACTGCATCCCGGATGCTGTGGATATTTGGTTGTGAGCCCCAGTCCTATTTGAATTCTGGAAGGAACATTGATTTGGGAGAGGGGACGCCTTTGCAGGCAACCGGACAGGCTAGGCTCACGCTGCCAGGCCCGCCTCTGTGAGCTGTGCTCCTGAGACTCGGTGGGTTTTCGAATCGCTCCCCAGGTTCTTGACCTCTGCCTCGTGGGTATGCAAGGGGCAAGCGTGGGGCTGGGGCAGGACTGCCCTTTACATCAGCCCTAAAAGCATCAGCCCTAAAAGCTTCCATGTGCTGTTCCCAGTTGGCCCCAGGGACCCCGCACCCGCTGGCGAGATGGCAGTCTTCGATGTTCTCTGTGGTATGTGCACCGGGGGGCCTCCTGCACTTAGCAGGTGCCGTGCTTCCTGCCACTGTGGACACGAGGCTCCCATCAAATCTGCGGAATCTACTGATGTCCCGTGCGGCTGTCCACTCACCGACTCACAGAGAGAACCTGGTGTCTGAAACGCCACCCCACCTGGTCACCGAGACTCTAATTCAGCCACTGCATTTTTCCTACCTCAAGTTCTGATTCTTTTCCAAATCTGCTTGGCTGTTTTTGATAATTCTTTCTCTTTGGTCATTTTATGGATGTCTTTTGTCCCTTTAAATGCTTCCTATGTGATCATTTTGCGAACCGTATTTGTTCATTCCGGTTCCTCATCCCGGGAACATGTGAAGTTCCCAGGGGCCTGAAACCACAGGGTTCCCTGCTCCCGCTCAGGGGCTTCTTTCCTCCAGTCTGCGCCCCTCTGTCCGGAGCCCGAGCACGGTGCCGCTCAGGCCGCCTGATCACTCTGGGCCGGAGGTGGGAGCTCCGTTCTGCCAGGCACCTTCCTGCCCCCTGGGGGTGGGGGGCGGGGGGTGGGCAGGGCGCAATGCTGCCAGCCCCCCCCCCAGCCCAGGCTGAGCGCTTCCGGCGCACGCTCCCTCCTCCCCCCCCCCCCCCCCCCCCCCCCCCCCCCCCCCCCCCGGAGCCACGCCCCAAGGCCCCAGTCCTCAACGGCTATCCACCCACCATTGCTGTTGCTGGCTGGCTTTGGGCTACTTCCATTTTTTTGCTTTTTGTTTTTAAGCCTTTGGAGATTTCCCTTACTGTTCTCGAGGGCCAGCAATACATCCAAAAGTACATTTACTGTAATCTATCCAAGATCTACTTGTATTTTCGTGGGAGGCCGCTCTGGAACACTTAGTCTGCAGGCGTCGGAAACTTCTGTTCTGGCTCCTGTCCCCACTGCCGACCTCGAAGTGGTCCGGGGCGACACGGATCCCTTCCATGGCCCCACGCCCTCTCTGGCAGCACTCTGTTCCCGGCCTTCCCCCCGCCCTCCGGCTGCTGCATGTCTAAGGGTTCTTTGCTGGGACACCCTCCTCAATGGAACCACAATGAGCAGGGATTCGCGCAGGGCCAGCCTGCCCCTCCTCCCCAGCCCCCGGCACCCCCCCCAGACCACCCCTCGCCCTAGGCCCTCCTCCAGGGGGCATGTGCCCTCCCATTCCCCATCCTGCCCCGGACACTTAACGCCACTACCATGCAGCGGCAGGATGCCTAGCTGCTGGGAAAGGCCGTGGGGTGCAGCACGGGACTCTCTTCCGCCCGACACCCCCATGGGCTCCCCAGCTCTGGCAGACATGCCACCCCCCAGCCTGTCCGCGGCTGGCAGACATGGCCCCCCCAGCCTGTCCGCGGCGGGCAGACAAGAGGCCCCCCAGCCTGTCCGCAGCTGGCAGAGCTCCAGCCTCCGCCTTTGTTCACGCAGCACCCTCTGCAGGACAGGCTCTGACTCAGTGCCTTCTGCCCACTGACCACTTGCTGGTCACATCCTCCAGGCTGGCCTCAGGCTTGCCCTCTCCACAATGCTGCCCTCACTTTCCTGGCTGGAGGAGGAGTTCTGGGTGATCCAAAGACCCCTGGACAGCTGCCGAAGGGCATAGGCACTTCTCCCCGAGGGCCAGTGGCACATGCCCCCCCGGTCGTGTCCCAGGCGTGCTCTTCCCTCACTGGTTTGACACGTTTACCGGGCGATGACCACATGCCCAGGTGCCATCCCCAGAACAGCCACAGGGGGGAAGGGCCACGGGACATGGCTGAAGGGCCATCGCTATGACCTGGAGCGGGAGGCAGGCTTTGCGCTGCCCACCTGGGCACTAGGGAGAGGGGGCGGGGCAGGCAGGGAGGCGAGCAAGGCCAGGCACCAGGCCAGGCAGCACAGGAAGGTGGACATTGGGCCCCAAGGGTCTCAAGGCCACGCATGGTACAGGAGAGGCTGGGGGCTTGGACCAGGGCAGCAGGGCAGCGGGAAGATTCTATATGCTGGGGATCACTAGATCTGGGAGGGGGGCAGGGCGGTGGGCTGGGAGGGGCTAGGAGGGGCTGGGAAGGGAGAGGAGGGGCTGGGAAGGGAGGGGAGGGCTGGGAAGGGAGAGGAGGGGCTGGGAAGGGAGGGGAGGGGCTGGGAAGGGCTGGGAAGGGCTGGGAAGGGCAGGGAGGGCAGGGAAGGGTGTCAAGGCAGACCCCCAGGGCTCTGGGCCCAGCACCAGCAGAGCTGCTGAGTACCCCACTTCCTGAGAGCCTGGGTCTGGAGGGGAGGCCACCCAGCCTGACCGAGGGGGTACAAGGCAGGGAGAGCCCAGGGAGGCCAAAGGGAACTGTCACATTTAATAGAGAAGGTCAGACACATGCCGGAACCAGAGCGATGCCGGGCGGGGCTCATTGGGTCACGAACTGGGACAGTTCGCGGAGGTCCTCCACAAAGCTGTTGTAGAATTTGCGGCTCATGGAGTCTGGGTCCTGCTTCAGGGTCTCCAAGTCTGCACAGAAACCCTGGGTCTGACGCACGGCCCCTCAGGGCAGGGGAGGGCAGAGGGCAGCCTGCTGTGGGAGCTAAAGGAGGGTCCAGGTGGGGGAGCACAGCCTTGTCCCGGGCACCCCGTGGGGGCGGGCACAGCCCTGTCCCGGGAGCCCCGTGGGGGCGGGCACAGCCCTGTCCCGGGAGCCCCGTGGGGGTGGGCACAGCATTGTCCTGGAACCGAGTCTCAAGGGGAAGATGGAGCCCGGCCCTTGGGACAGGCTGGCGGAGGGGCCTTCTTAAGAGTTGGGGAACAGAGAGGTCCCCCGTGCGCGGCCCGGGGCTCACGTTTCTTGAGGATCCTCACGTCGTCCTTGCTCAGGTAGAAGCAGAGGTCGGTAAAGTAGTCCTGCAGCAAGGCCCCTGCACGGGGAGGGGGCGGTGGGGACGGGCGCCTCTGTGGCCCCTGGGGGAGGCCGGCTTGGCACGGACAGGGGATCTGCCCACCCTACGGGGCCGCCCTCCACCCCCCCCCCCCGGGCACGGGTGCTTGGCCTTTCCCGCGGCAGCTCTGGGCTCTGAGTGTGGGGGCTGGGCGGGCACGGTGTGGGGGGCACCAGGCCGCGGCCGGCACCCACCGACGAACTTCATGGCCATCTGCTTCAGGCGTCTGTTGGGGCTGCGCAGGTAAACCAACGCCTGCATGAAAAACTGGTGGAAGTTGCCAAAGTTGCTCTCCACCTGGGGAGGGGGACAGACGGCCCCCAGACCCCCTGTGACCCGGCTCTGCCTGAGGCCCCCCTGACGCCCAGCAGTCCCAGGGCCTGGAAGGAGGAGGGGCATGACCCCCCATCCCACCTCGGGCAGGGCCCCGTGTCAAGGGACCTGGGACCGTGCGCTTGGTCACCTGTCCCCACACATCCTCCAGGAGGCCCCTCCCACTTGAGCTTCAGCAAGGGGCCGGGGGCCGGTCAGAGCGAGAGGAGGGGGGAGGCCCCGCTGGCTCCCCCGGGCCGGTGCGGTGGGCACTCGGGGCGTGCAGCTGCTCTAGGAGGGGACAGCTAGCTGCCCCAGGATGGGACGGGCCCCTGGATCAAGGCTAGGGCCAGGCTGAGGAGCTGAGGCGCGAGACAGACGCAGCCCAGGTGCTCTGTGGCGGCACCGTCCGGGCCTTCTCAGGTTTATAAGCAGGTTTGTGTCTCTAAGCCTGCTTGAACCGGCTCTCCTGCCACCTGCTTACCAAGAACGCTGGCGAGTGTCCCCCCCACCTCAGCCCCCAGGCCACCCGGGTGCCCGTGCTCCCCACAGAGACCCTCCCTCGGCCCCCGTGGAGCCAGGCGGTGCTTCCCCCGGGGCGCCCACCCCAGGCCACCGCTGCCCGCCGGCCGGGCTGACCCCCGGAGCTGCCTTTCTGCCCACATCGCCTTCCCCTTCCCTCCACAAACGTCAGACCCACGTGGCAGGTGGGACCTCGGGGTCCGGGCCCCCAGCAGCCTCCCAGGCCCCTGGACCCGCCGTGATGTGCTCGGATTCGCCTTCTTGTCACAACCCATTCTGGGAATGTGGCCTTCAGCTCGTGATCTTAAAAACACAACGGCCTTCCTGCCCTGTGCGGAGCTCTGAGCCCCCCGAGACGCACTCTGGGCTCTGGTGCCCTTTTCTGCCCAGACGCCAGGACTTCCTGGAGGCGGCTGATCCTGTGTCTTGGAGAGGAAAGAGAGGAGAGGCACTAGGAAGCGTCTGGAACATTCCAATGCCGCCAGAAACAAGGATGCCCACAGAAAGAGAGTCCAGGGCAGGGCTCATGGGAACGGATTCAAGTTCAACACTGGCAGGTGTGACAATCTGAACAATCAAGCAATGCCACTAACAGTGGGAATGGTGCCTCCTGGAAGGAGCGGGTCCTTCATGAGCCAAGAGGCTGGCTGGACCGCCTCCCCCCAAAAAAGATACACTGAGTCTTAACCCCTAAGACCTCTGAATGGGACAGTGTTGGGAGACAGGGCCTCCGGAGGCGATGCAGTGAAACGGGGTCACACGGTGGCCCTGACACCTTACAGGAGGTGCCTCAGGAGGAGGGCACGCGCCGACACGCACGCAGGGAGAGCAGTGAGTGCAGGGAGCAGTGACGCTCACAAGCCAAGGGCCCGCCGGCTCCATGTCGCGGGCCACTCGCCTGCAGAGCTGCGAGATGACGTCTGTGGTTTAGGCCATGGAACCGAGTCATGAGGGCCTAGGGGCCCAGAGGGCCATCAGCTCGCGGTGCCCCTCCAGAGGCAGGAGTCAGCAAAAGGAAACAGAAAGGAGACTTCCGTAAAAGGAGGGAAACTCTAATGGACTGAATTTTGATTGGTATTTAAAAGTGAGGGAGTATTTAAACATTGGTATTGTGTTTCTTTTCTCCACGATTGTTGAAAAGAAGGCCCGGCTGTGACTCTGGGCCCACGTGGGGAGCCGGGAGAGAGGGAAGTCAGGGCTATGAGCCCACCACTCAGCCCCCCGGGGTTTGAAGCGACGGGTCGGCACGGGGCCCCGGCCGGTGGCCGAAGTCGGCCGGGCTGGTCGGGGCTCAAGGGCACAGCCCACGACGCCGCATGAGGACAACCCCAACGAGGGCTGCGAGCATCAGGGCTGGAGAAGCCCTCGTCCACACGTCTCAACTGTTAGAAAATTCCAGAAGGGGCTTCTAGCAATGCTTACAGACCGGGTGGGAGTATGGGATGGCAGGAGGAAGCATCGGCCATGAGCAAGCTAACACAGGCTTCTGAAACCACACTGCTGCGTGGAAGGGAACACGTGTGGGGCAGACGGCGCGCAGGAGCCCCTGCCGCCAGCCAGCCCGGCCGCGCCGCCCAGCTGGGGGGTCCCGAACCCCTGCTGGCCTGAGGTGGCAGCTGCCTTCCTTTGGGGCAAAACTCCAACTCCTGGAAGGTGTGAAAATGGGAAAATGGGCAAACCCAGGAAAGTCTATACGGGGAAGAGTGGGAGGGGGCGCCCAGAACGGAAGGCTGGTGAGGACACATGTGCCCCACAGTCTCTGGGCTCCCTCAGTGGCTACGCCGTCCCCAAGACCCCCTCACGGCGAGGCTGCTGGTGGGGGCTCAGAGCCATTTCAATAGGTCTGAAACCCACAGAGAAATAAATTATTGTTAAACCTGTGAGAGTAACTTTATCATGCTGACAGTTTTGTGCTCTAACAGCTCCAGGCTCTTTAATAAACTGGTAAGATCAAGGGCGCCCAGGGGGCTCAGTGGGTTAAGTGTCCGACTTCAGCTTAGGTCATGATCTTGTGGTTCATGAGTTCAAGCCCCGCGCTGGGCTCTGTGCTGACAGCTCAGAGCCTGGAGCCTGTTTCGGAGTCTGTGTCTCCCTCTCTCTCTGCCCCTCCCCTACTCACACTGTCTCTCTCTCTCAGAAATAAGTAAACGTTAAAAAAAAAACTAAGAAATAAAAAGAACAAATTGGTAGGATCAGTAAGCTGGGCGTGGAGACCCGGTGGCAGCGGGCACCTCTCCATGCGCTCGCCTCACCGCTCATCTGCAACCAGCTGAAGACAAGTCCCCGAGGGCAAAAGCGGGCGGGACAAGACCAGAGCCACAAGCACCTGAGAGGTGGCCCCGCTGTCCCCGCACGCGGGCTGAGGTGGGCATGGAGTCCAGGCACCCGAGGCATCTCATGGGAGGAAAGGCCAACCTCACACCCAGGCTGCCAGAGGCAGAGGGACCTGGCATCACACACGCTCCTCGGAACGGGGCCAGAAAGACTCCGAGAGAGGCCTTCCTCCTCCCCCTCCTCCTCCCCTTCCTCCCCCTCCCCCTCCCCTCCCCTTCCTCCCCCTTCCTCTCCCCCCTCCCCCTCCCCCCCTCCCCCTCCGGCAGAGAAGAGCGGCAGCCACTACACGAGCCACATGATGACCTGGGGCCACGTGTACCCATGAAACCTCCGAGCTGGGAAGTCAGTGTAACACCCACCCCACAGCAGCACAGAGTCCCTGACGGACGCACACAGAGAAGGACCCGCAACCCAAATGGCCAGAGCAGGAAACCCGAGGCAGGAGGCCCTGGCGGCCATCGGAGCGTTCCTTCCCCTCCGGGTTCCAAATCCACCCCTGCTGCGCGCTCTGGAAAAGCGGACTGGGCCGAGGGTCGTCCTCGCCGCCCGCCCGGTGCGGGGTGACTCGGGGGCAGTGTGGGGACGCAGGAGAGACTCCCGCCCCTGATGCCTCAGGCTCGCTCCGCAGGCGCCCCCAGAACTGCCCCCCCAGCGGTGTCCTGTGGCCCCTCCTGCGTGAGACCTGCCCCTGCATCTCAGGGGCTCGGCCTGGCACCACACGAGCCTCTCTGCCACGCAGGCTGGTAGCCGTGCCCTCAGCTCCGGGCACAGGAGTCGTCCTGGCCTGGGGCGGGGCCTGGCGACACCACGTCCTCCCGTCCACATCCACGCGCCACCCTGGCGGTCCTGCGACCTTCAGTGCTGGCTCCTCCGCGTCCCAGCCGGTCCCTGCAGCCCCCAGGCCCTGCCGCGGTCAACGGTCCTTCACGCTAACCCTCCCTGGCTCAGATCGCCGAGTCTCCTGAACAGATCCTGACAGACAGACGCTGAGCCCGATCACAGCCACGGGGGTCAAGGTTCGGCAGCCCTGAGGGCGACACGTCACCGTCATCGGCCACAGGGACCGCTTGGTGCCAGCAGTGCTGCTGCATGCCGGGGTCCCCGGCACCCCGTTTCCCACGGGCAGGGAGCAGAGCACCGCAGCCGGTGGGAGGGCACAGGCACCAGCGCGGCTCCAGGGCCGGGAGGGGCTTCTCCATCAGACCCCAGCACAGACCGTGGAAAAGTAACACACCCGCCACAGGACTCCTGCGCAAGCAGACACACAGTAAGCAGAGTCCAAGGTCACAGACTGGACGAAAGCAATTATGATACAAGTAACGGGCCAAGGATCCGCGCCTGGAGCCTGCGGAGAATTGACCAATTGACCGTTCCTACAAACGACACCAACAAGCTGCCTGGAGGGCGCTCCGCGGCCCCCGCCCAAGCCCCGCCCCCTCTCTCCGGGCACCTTCAGCCCCAGACCGTCGCCCTCCCCACTTCTCCGGAAACGGCAGCTGTCTCCCAGCCGTGGCAGGCACGCACCCCCAAGCCCCCACGCACTTCGACCAGATCCAGTGTGGCCGGTGTGCCAACCTGCCAGCCACCAAGCTGGAGAAAAGCCAGGGATGGGGGCTGTGGTCCCTGAGCACCAGGGAGGGGTCCCAGCCAGGCGGGGCCTGAGGGTCTGGACTCCGAAATAAACCGACTACTAGAAGTCAGAGCTGTGGTTTCCTGCCGCACGCACACCTGTCTCCTCGCACAAATCCTCAGCAGGGGACGAGGGCCCAGGTCTGGCCTCACGGGGCTGCCCAGAGCTACGGGGCCTCCCCAATTCTGCACCGGGACATCAGTGGCCGCTGCGCTCCCTGAAGGCCCCTCCCCAGCGGCCGTGGGAACTGCTGCCAGGCAGGGCTCCCCCGTCCAGGTGGGGTGGTCTCTACATGGCCCGGAGGCCCCGAGCTCCGTTTCCCAGGGAAGGGGCCTGAGGGAGGCTCAAGGGGCCGCCGGCCTAGCACCGAGCGGGCCTTTGATCAGCACCCGCAGGACCGAGTCAGGGGTCAGCCACCCCCAGAGGACCCTGACTGCAGGCGGCCCCCCAGCCACGTCCCTGGCCCCCTGCCCCTCATCTGGGGGGTGCTGACGTCTTACCACGTAGATGAAAATGTTGTTCTCAGCACCCAGGCCACGGCCCCATGCCAGCTTCCCAAACAGCTCCTTCCGGAACTCCCACTTCAGCAGGACAGCACAGCGCAGGAAGGTCAGCTTTGTCTTCTGCGGGGTGCCACGCAGAGACAGACGGTCACCTCCCCCCCATCGACGCCCCCACAGGCAGGGACCACAGGACGAGTGGCCTTCTGCAGCCACGCTGGCCCGGAGGCACCGAGGGGCCCCGGCCCAGCAAGGACCCTGCTCACAGCTGTGCCCGGGCCACGTAGCTGCCCACGCCCCGGAGGGGGCTGTGCCTGCAGCCGACGGGGTGCCCCCGCTGGAGTGTCTTCACCTCCCTAAGTCTAATTCACACAGACACTCAAGAGGCCAGTGGTCACCCTGGCCAGCCAGGCCTCCTTCCTGACCTCGAGGGATTCTCTCAAGGGCCAGGGGACAGCCACCCAGGGGAAGAAGGCTGGTCCCTCACTCACCAGCACCCAACAGCCCAGCCTCTGGCCTCTAACTCCTTTAGAGAGTCCCTGTAACCCTGTGACGGGCAGAAATCACCTCCAGGACCTCAGGATGTGACTGTCCAGAGATGGGGCCTCTACAGAGGTAAGGTCATCAGGTCCCTGGGTGGCCCGGGCAAGCCGCCCGGTGTCCTTACAAGAAGGGAATCTGGCCAGGCAGATGGGGGATGACCACGTGAGGACACGGGGGGGGATGCCGTCCACACGCCCAGGAGAGAGTCCAGAGGGGACCCGCCTGCCACACCCCAAACCCAGCAGCCCTGCCTGCGGCACTTGGTGGCAGCGGCCTGAGCCGGGACGGGACGGTCCCCAAGCTGGCCCCTCCCTCTCTGGCTGAGTTGGGGGGGGGGGTCGGCCCACCTGGCTTTCACTCCAAAGCCCTCAGCCTCCTCCTGAGTCACCCAGCCAAGTATTCACGCCTCTGCCCCCAGGAGACTGTGCTCCGGGGCGGGGAGCACCTCTTCAGCATCTATGACGAGGCCCTGATCACAGGAGGACGCGCTGACCCAACCCGGGCCCAGCCTGCCCTCACCCTCCTGGTCCCGTTAGCTCAGAGCCCGCCTTCACTCGGAGGCCCTTGCCCTCCGGGCAACTGCTCCTAAGACTGCAGCTCCTCCTCCAGGCAGCCTCTCCTGGTTAACCTGACACTCTCCTCCAAACTTCCAGCTGTACCCCTCTGCCCCCCCACCTGGCAACACCCCTGCCGTCTACTGGCCTCCCATCCACCCTTCGTTTAGCCGTGCATTCGCTCAGCAGCTGACTCCGGCCAGGCTCTGGGTTGCAGGCTGGCTGTGCAGACCCAGACCGGAGGCAGACCTTCTCCCTGGACTGAGGGGTTCCCAGCCCATGAGGCCACCAGTGACAGGACCCGAGGGCTCCTGGGTCGGGTGGGCCTGGGGCCTGGGCAGAGAGGCGGCCAGGGACTGGAGGAGGGAAGCAGGAATCCAGGCGGCTCCCCAAGTGCTGGGGAGGAGGCGGCGGCCATGAGCAAGAGGGCAGCGCGCAGGGCCTGCTTGGCCGAGCAGCTGTTAGGAGAGCGAGGTGAGAGCGGAGACCCGCGAGGGCGCCCAGGGCCGGCAGAGGGCTGCTCTGGCCTGTGGGTGGGGTGGAGGCCAGGAAGGCTTCCCTGAGCGGGGAAGGGGGGCACTTGGGTGGGGTCTCGGGGAGAAGCAGGTGCTCCCTGTGCAGGGGGGGAAGGGGCATTCCCAGGGACCAGAGGCGCCGCTCACACGGACGACCTGGGAAGCCTGGGGCCGCGCCATGGCCGCCCTACGGGTCCCCCCGTGCGCCCGGCACACAAGGAGCCTCCCTGGAGGCAGTGTCCTTGAGGGGAGCGTGGTCTGCACCCTGGGGAGAGCGGGAGTGAGAAGGGTCCCAAACACCAGGCTCCCAGGCTGAGTGTGTGTGTGTTGGGTTGGGGGGGGTTCACGGGGGTCCTAGATTGGGGGGGGAAGACCCCGGAGTCGCGTGGAGCTGAGGGCAGCGCCACCCGGGACGGCCGGCTCCTCTGTGCGTGTCGGCCTGCAAGGCGGGGGGGTGTGGGGGGCGCTCACCATGACCACCGCGGGGCAGGAGTCGCCCAGGTGCAGGAGCAGCGGCACCAGGGCCTGGAACGCGTGGCTCTTGAGCGCCTGCCGGTACTTGTTGCCGCCGCTGTGCAGGACGTCTCCGTACAGCAGGATGGCCCTGCCGCGCACGGCGGCCTCTTCCTGCCGGACGCGGGGCCCTCAGCCGCGGGACGGGCCCGCGCCAGGCCCACCCTCCCTCCGCCCGGCGACCCGCGGTGGCCAGGGCGCCCTCACCCGCCTGCAGCTCAGGGACGGCCCCCACGCCTCCCCCTCGCCGACGCTGCTGCCCGGGCGCCCGCCGCCACGCACGCCCCGCCACGCACGCCCCCCGCCACGCACGCCCCCCGCCACGCACAACCCCCCCGCCACGCACGCCCCCCGCCACGCACAACCCCCCCGCCACGCACGCCCCCCGCCACGCACGCCCCCCGCCACGCACGCCCCGGCTGTGCCGCCGTCGCTGCCGCGCTCTCTCCTGCCACCCCCTCCGGTGGCTGCCACCGACCGTGTCAGGGCCACGGCGCCCCTCCCCCTCTCCCTGGGGACCGGGCGCAGGCGCGGCCGGGACGGTCACTCGGGCGCTGAGACCCAGCCTCCGGGACCGCTGCGCGGGCTCCCCGCCCCCCTCCGCCCACCCGCCCTTGCTCTCCTCCCGGCCCGCGCCCTCCGCGTGGGGGACGCGGCCCAGGGGCCTCCCGGAAACTTCCTTCCTGGGGGCTACCCCCCCGCCAGGGCCCGCGGGATTTTGCCCACAAGCCCCGGGGGTGGGAAGGGGGAAGCGCCGTCGGCCGCTCGGCCTGGCGGGCTCGCGCCGGGAGCTGCGCCGCCGCCCTGCCCCTCACATCGTCGAACAGCAGCAGCAGGTGCTGGGCGATCCTGAGGCTGGTGGCGCCGACGCCGTGGGACCCCAGGTGGCGCAGGATGTCGCCCAGGATCTCCATCAGGCCCACGAGGTCCTTGGGCTCGGGCCCCAGGAAGCCGTCCAGCAGCCCGGCCAGCCGGTTCCGGAGCAGCATCACCTGCGGGCACACGGAGCCGCGCCCTGGCCTGCCCCGCTCCCTGGAAAGGGCCCTTCTCGAAGCTTCTCCACCGTTTCTACGTTTCTACGGGTGTCACTGACTCGGCGGGGCTGTGGCTGCCGCTCCCTGCCCCACCCCTCCTTTCACATCCTCAGGGGCCTCAGCCCCAACCCCCCGCCCGCACTGTGGGGCATGGACTTGTTCTGGAAGGCCTGAAGGGCGGGAAGGGGACGTAGGCCCGCACCCGGCCAGCTGCGAGTCCCCCCAGCGCCCGGCCAGCAGGGCCACGGAGCAGCTGTGCTCTCGCGTAAGGACTCCTACTGGAAAGGAGGCCAAAGCCGAAGACCCAGAGCCCCCTCCAGCCCCGAAATTCTAGGATCCCTCGCCGTGAGGGACGCATCAGGGTTTCCCAAACGTCCCCACCCTCTCCTTCCTTGGCCTGACCTGCCGTCCCCACCCACTCCTTCCAACCTGACCTGCTGTGGAGGCTCTTCTCACGTGCCTCCTCCTCCCTGAAGTCTTCCTGGGATGGGGGTGAGCAGCCCTGCCTCTCACCTTCTTAGGATGCATCAGGATACTGCTGAGGCCCTTCAGGCTCATGGCCCGCACCAGCTGGTTGGGGTTGTTCAGGCCCAGGCTCAGGAAGTTGTCCATGGTTCTCCGAGACATGTACTGAGGGAGCTCTTGGCTGTTGAGAAACTGAGTGGTGGCGGCTGGGTCAGCTACCGGGAAAGGGGGCCCGTGGCCGAGCGTGAGAGCGTGGGGTCAGACATCGGGAAGCACTTCCAGAGAGCAAGTAGGTCTGACCTGAAGGCAGAAGTGAAGAGACTTCCGGGGGGGCAGGGGGGCGGGGGGAGGCGTGGCAGTCCAGTCCTCTGAGCTTCCTGTGAGCCAGAGGACGCTGGAGAGGGCAGGGGCAGGGCGGGGCGAGGAGGGGCTGACCTCAGCGATGAGGAGGATGGCCACGACGTTGTCCCGTTCCTCAGAGCTCTTCAGCGAGATGACCGCCTGCCCCCAGACGGCCTTGATCTCACAGTCATAGTGGGCCATGGCCCTGTCAGAGGAGAGGGGCAGGCCTGGGGACCCTGCGGGCTTCATCCTTGCCGGGGGGGCGGGTGGCCTGTAACCCGCTGCCGACCTTGCTTGCTCGGGGAGATGGCCCAGGCAACTGAGTCTGGAGCCCAGGTCCCCATACGGGGTGCAGGAGGGGCCCCATCAGGGATGCTCTCTGGGGCCAGCCCCGGCCCAGGCTGTGCTCACCTAGCCAGGAGGGTCACCCCCTCTGTGTAGGTTTTCATGTGCTCCAAGAGCTCCCAGCCTCTCAGCAGCTTGAGGAAGGCGAACACCTCCCAGCAGTTGGTCCAGAAAAGACCCTTCAGGGCCTCCAGGCACGTCCTAGGGGAGGTGGGGGTGTTTGCAGAGGCAAGTCGGGGCTCGGGCCGGGTTCTCCGCCTGGACCGGAAGGTCATCTGCGACCCCCTTTCCCATCTGGGCCCCAGGCGCTGTGGCCTCTGAGCCTGCTCTGCCGCTGGGTTTTCCCGGCTCCCTACTCAGGACTGAAGGCGTCCAGGTGGGGCTGGAGCTCCTTCCTTTCTGGGCCCTTGGAGCCCAGCCCAGGGTCCGGTGCCCACCAGGGGTTCCACAGCTATGTGGAAGAAACCAGAAAGGGGGCATGCGTTGGGGTCCCCGGGGGCTGGGCGCTGAGGCCCCTCACAAAGGTCACCTGCAGGGGCCGAGGGGCTTCACGTCCAGGACTTCCTCCTGGTAGTCTGAGCTGCTCTCGGCCACATCCAGCTCAAACAGGTAATGGAGCTGCGTGAGCAGGCCCACAAGGACCCCTGCGAAGGCCCAGCGCACCGTGGCCTTGAACTCCCGGGTGTACAGGAGCTCATAAATGGTACCCAGGGCCTGCAGCGGGCGACAGAGCCGGACTCAGATGGGCATCACCTTCGCTCTCTGCCCAGGGCCGGCTCCAGCGAGCAGAGGAGCAGGGAACCAGAAGCGTGCCCCCCCACCCCCCGGGCCCAGGCCCCCGCCTCCCACACCTGGCGGGGGCCCAGGACAGTCCCGGGGGCTCTGGTCCCACTCTGCCAACCGCTCAGCAGACAAGAGTCCTCAGCTACGCCTACTGAGACCCTCTGCCTTCCGGCCCAGCAGGGCCCCCCACAGGGCCTGAGTGCCAGTGCGGTTCCAGGGGGACCCCAGGTGGGGACACGGGGTGGGGGGCTGCTCACCAGCAGGGAGATGAGCTCCGCCTGCTGCGTGAACCTGATGAGCTCTTTGGGGGGGCGGAGCTTTAGCTTCATGTAGAGCATGGTGAGCACCTTGCGGGCCAGCTGGGTGCTGCTGGCTAGGGCCTTCCACAGGGGCATGACCTGTCTGGGGAGGCAGGGCCGCGTCCCACCAGGTGGCTGGCTGTGCAGGGTCGGGGGGCCAGTGGGACGTGACCTCTGGGACAGCAGCATGTCCTGCCGGGCTTGCTGAAGTGGGGATGGCCCAGGCCCCCAGGAACCCTGAGCCCTTCCAGCCCGGGGGTCCCGGTGGCTGTGTCCCAACAGCCGGTGAGCAGGGCTTGGGGCTCTTGCTCAAGGCCTTGAGTGCAGGCTGACTTTCCCTGATGTCGGTGCTGGTTCCCACTTTGCCGTGATTCTTCGCCACGTGACCCCAAACAGAGTCTGGCCTCCCCCGCTTGTGGGGAACAGAGGCTCAGCCCTCAGGCAAAGCGGGATCCACACGGGGCCTGTCTCTCTGGGGAGGGATGGGGGGCTCACGGACCTGCATCCCAGAGATCTCTGTTCCCTGTCCAAGGTTCTGTGACCCTGTGACAGGCCAGTGCTCCCCAAGATGCTCTGGAGGCGCCCGGGTTCAGGGGACACACACACACCCACGCCTCTCAGGGTCACAGGCCCGGCCCAGCATCGCTGAGGCTCATGACATCCACACGCTGCAGCCTGGAAACCCAGCGTGAGCCCTGAAGGGCGGTGGGCCCGTTTGTGTGCTGGGGCCCTGGGCGGCTGGAGGGGGCTGCTTGGGGGCCGGTTAGGATCTTCAGGGCGCCCCGCTGACCTCCGGCCCCCCTGCCAGCTTGTCTCTAAGGGCTCTCTCGGTCCGAGGGACGCTGCCTGCCCAGGAACGGAGTGTGCCGAGGATTCTATGGCCCAGGTCCTGGGCACTAGGACATACCTCTCGGAGGGGTGACACAGGGACAGTATCACCTCGACTGTCTCCTGGGTGTGCTGAGTCCCCAGCACTGACACAGCCTTCATCATCGTCTGCAGGGTGCTCTTGAACGTGATGGAGGGCAGCTCCCGGAACAGGCCGTGCAGGATCTCGGCCACCTGCAAGGCCAAGGGCAGGCCAGGAGGGGGCGTCAGAGCCGCCCCCGGCTCCTGCCTCCGTTCCCTGCGGGCCCCGGGGTCTGCCTCCCACATGAGGCGTCCTGGCGACCTCGTCATCCCGTCCAGTCTGTGATCCCCGCCCCAGACGAGGCATCTGGACACAGGCAGGACCCGATGGGGACAGCGGGTGGGAGCCGCACCTGGCTCCCAGCCGCTGCTGCCCCATCATTGCCGCAGCGTCACCCCCTCCCTGCGTCCCTGTGAAGATGAGGATCCGCCCCGAGCGGCCAGGAGGGTGGATGGGCCTCACACGCCCTGAGAGACGGTGGTGTCTGCATGGGTTGTGAGCTAGGCCGCACACCCCCCCCCACCCCCAGGAAAGGCAGTTAAATCCCCAGGGAGCCGGGGGGTGGGGGGTGGCAGAGAATTTTTCTCTCCTGAGTAAGGCCGAACGAACAAGGCAGGGTGTTGCTGACAGGGCCCTGGGGCCTTGAGGGGAGCCGACTGGCCAGGCGGGGTGAGCCAGGGGCCCTGGGGCACCGGGTCTCAGCCCTGCTAACAGGGCTGTGCTGTTTAAGGGAGCGGGAGGCGGGGCCGTGTGCTGCTGATGGCTCAGGACCCAGTGCCGCCGGGCCCGGGGCGCGCTCTGTGCAGAGGGGCGTGCAGACACGGGTGCATCCACGTGCACACAGGCAGCCCTCGGCAGGTGGCCCACTCCTGTCGCGAGGCCCACAGCTGGCGGGCCGGGAGGGGCTCGGCGCCCACCTGCTCTGGCCTGACGCTCTGCTCTTCAATGACCTTAAGGAGCAGCTGCGATGCCAGGTCACAGTTCAGGCGGCTGTGGCTGCAGAGCCGTCCCAGGAGCGTGAGGACGAGCTGCGTGTGCTGGGCCACGGTCAGGTTCCTGTTCAGCACCTGTGCACGGGGGCTGGGCTGAGGGGCCTCGAGGCGCCCTCGCGTTGGGCTGGGAGACGGGGGCTCCTCCTCCTCAGAGCGCAACCAACGCCAGGTGAGCAGACTTGTCCCCTCCCCCACACCAGGCTGCCGGGGCCCTGCCCCTCCTGCCTCAGCGGTTGGCTATGTGGCCGTGGCCGCTGCAGGCCGGCAGCCACCCCTTCTCTGGAAGGTCGCTCTGTGGATGGTGGGAGCAAGCGGCCTTGTCCAGGGGATCAGGTGCCCCCCCATTCCTGCAGCCAGCCACTGACTCAGGGGACAAGGGTCCAGCCCCTGACTCGAGGTGGGGGACGCTTTAAGCTGCCACGCGCCCTGGGTCAGGCTGGGCACCACCCTCGTGGCTCCTCCCACCCCCATCTTGCTTCCCTCACTCCCCGCGACTGCACTGGGATTCCTGCCCCAGGCTCTGTTTCTAGGGACCCCACCAGGCCCACAGGCTCCCAGGCTCCGGGCTCCCCGGAGGGGCGCCCAGGGGGCCGCCTGCTGCACGGGGCGTCTGTCCCAGCCTGTCCCGAGAGCGGGAGGGGTCAGACTCAGGGACTCTCACTTGGAAGGTGGGGAAACAGAGGCATGGAAGGGTTGACTGACTGCCCAGCCGCATGAGGCAGAGCCTGGACTCAAACCCAAAGCCCTGATGCCCATCCATCTCGAGGGGCCGGCCAGCCCAGGGAGGACGCACAGGGGAGGGCGGGCCGAGGCCATGGGCGAGAGAGACGGCTGCTTGCCTGGGTCCGAGCACGAGGGCTGAGCACAGGGCCATCTCAGGCAAACCCAGCTGTCGTCCCAGGGCGAGGGGCCCCAGGGGCGAGGCCCCGAGAGGAGTGGGTGCTGAGGAGGGAGGGGTCAGCAGAACCCTGGGACCTGGCTTCAGAGGGGCCTCGCCGCACCCCAGGTCACAGGGAGGGTGCAGGCTGAGATTTCAAGGGGCAGAGGGACAGGGTGCTTTCCCTGCAAGTGAGCGTCCGCGCCCTGGCTACACCCGGCCCGCTCCCCAGGCCCCCCGCACAGAATCAGCTGCAGAACGGGCAGGGGGTGGAGGCACCGCGCCCACCGCCCTCCCCGCCTCCCCTCTCCGGCCCCAGCAGCCCCACCTTCACCAGGTTGTAGAATTTAATTTCTGATTTTCTGCTGGCACTTGCTTCCAAGTTCTTCATCTTATTCAAATACATGAACTCTGACATGCTCCCTGCGGAGGGGCACCGAGTCAGGAGGCCCGGAGCAGCCAGTGCCCAGTGCCCCGGTGGGCCCCCAGCTCACCCTTCTGCTGCGTCAGAAGCTGGAGGAAGAGGTAGGTGCACTGGCGGGAGTGGCTCTGGGTGACCGGGTCCATGTCCCTCCACAGCAGCGCCAGCAGGCCGATCTGGTGGCCCAGCACGGAGGGCGTGGCCACTTCCTGGGAAGGGTGGGCAGTGCGTGGGCCGTGGCTCGCCCTCTTACCGCGGCCCGACCGCCTCCCCCGCCACCTGGTGTCCCTTCCCAAGACAAGCCCTGAATCCTGGCTGCGAGAAGCAGGAGCAAGGGCTGGGGTGCCCAGCACGGGGACAGCAGCACCCTGCGGCTCCCGGCCCCCACCTTCCCTGCCACCCTCGCGAGGGAGCTGGCGAGGCGACTCACAGCGAGCCCCACGTTGTCCACCACGTACGTGAGGAGCAGGAAGACGGTCTGCACCGCCCGCTGGCGCTCGTGGCTGCGGTCCGACTCCAGCCACGGCTCCACGTGCTGCGGTGCTGAGAGGAGAACCCAGCAGCCTGCTCAGCCCCGCGGACCCACCCCCGCCGCTCGGGCAGCTGCTGGGACCCACCAGAAGGCCCCCCAGTCCCCGCCACCAGTTTGGCCCCCTGGGGCCAGAGGAAGCCAGCACGTTTGGCTGCGTTGGCGGCATACGTCTCCACGGCCGCGCGGAGGGCGCAGCCCATCCCGGACTTCCTCCCTGCCCGCAGGGGTGCCCAGAGGTGAGTCAGGGTCCCCTCCTCCTTGCAGGAGGGCCGACCTGCCGACCTGGCCCTCTGGCCACCGCTGTGTCCGAGGGAGCCACCCTGGGTGGGCGCCGGGAGCCGCGGCCGCACCCTGTGCCAGTGCGGGCCTCACCTGCAGGAGGAAGCACATCTCATCCATGCTCTTGTTCTCGGAGATGAGGCTCTGGAGGAGCAGGTCCAGCGCTTGCATGGACTTCTGGTACAGTGCCTAGCGGGACGGAGCCTGGTCGCACCCCCGGGGCCGGCCCGCCAGCACCACAGCGGACACCCCCCATCTGCCCCCAAACACCCCTGGGGAGGGCTCGGTCACTGTTTCCCGCAGGGCCTGCGCAAGTGATCATAATGTCCATTCTGGGCCCAGTCCTCACTCAAGTCCCTGGCGAGGACACTCGCTGCCCTCGCGGCTGCCAGGTCTTCAGGCCATAACCACTGAGGGGGTTGCATCTGCCCCTAACATCCCAGAAGGGGGCAGGGCTCAGTGAGCGCCCAGTGCCACTGAGGGCACGCCGCCCGGCCCAGGGCCCCTGAGACGGCCCCCTGGGCATTCCCCCAGCGCTGACACTGACACTGACAGGTACTTTGAACTGAGCGAAAATGTAAACACAGAGTATCAAGGTTGACCATCTGCACAGATCCAGCAAAAGTGTTTGACAGGATCCCACAGCCACCCTGACCAGCACTCTTAGCAAAGCAGGAAAGCAGAGAGCTTTCTCAGCCTGAGTAAGGGCATCCGAGAACCCACAGCAACAGCAGACTCCATGGCCAAGACAGGTGCATTCCTTCCCAGATCAGGAACGACACGGGGTCCGTTCCCACCACTGCCGGGTCCTCGCAAGGGCAGCGGGGTAGGAGGGAGGTCGCGCAGCACCCCCATTGACAAGAAAGAAGGAAACTTCACACAAGTCATGCTTAAAACCCGTGGGGTCTACGAAGCCTCAGAGAAGCTAACAAGGACATTTGCAGGGTTTCAGGAACAAAATCAACGCACAAAAAGTCAGTTGTATTCTGTATACCAGCAATGAGCAACTGGAAATTAAACTTTGAAATACTGTTGGCAACGTCACAAGGAAATAGAGGAAAGAATCTGACGGAAGATGTGCTCTAAGCCCCTTGTGCCGTTGACTAGAAGTTGACCTACTCATTCTGTGACACACGTGAAAGTGCACAGAACCTGGGGTAGCAGAAACAGCTTTGGAAACGATGACCCAGGTTGGAGGACTTCACACCTTCACACCTTTCCCGAGCCCACCCGTACCACTCCGCACCTTCCCGTGCACACACCGGTGCCACTCTGCGCCTTTCCGTGCACCTGCCCGTGCCACTCCATGCCTGCCTGTGCGCGCGCCTGTACCACTTCACACCTTCCTATGAAGCTACCAGCAGTGAGACAGTGGCATCAGCAGAAACAGATCAGTAGACACACAGAACAGAATAAAGAGGCCACAAACGGAAACGGATACGTGGTCAGCTGATTTTCGGCAGAGGTGAACTTGGGACCTGGAAGGGTCCAGAGCGACCAGGTGTCCACATATGTGCAAAGAGCTGAGCTTCAGGCCACTCCTCACGGCAGGTAAGACTTGGCTCGGAACCTGTCACGGCCCTCAGTGTGGAACCTAAGACCATAAAACTTCTAGAAGATGGCAGAGAAAAATCCTTGCGACCTTGGTTCAAGGAAAAAATTCTGGATACACCACCAAAATCACAATCCATGAAAGAAAGAACAGAGAAATTGAACAACCTCAAAATCAAGAGCTTCTGCTCTTCAGAAAAGACCATTAAGACAATAAAAAGAAAGCCACGGACCAGGAGAAAATACATTCAGATCCCCTAAGTGACAAAGAACTCACATAGCAGCTCTAAAAAGGATTCTAGAAACTAATAAATAAGGCAACTGAAAAACTAGACATATGAGAGGCTCCTGGATGGCTCAGTAGGTTGAGCGTCTGACTCTGGCTCAGGTCATGATCTTAAGGTTTGTGAGTTCGAGCCCCACGTCGGGCTCTATGCTGACAGTTCGGAACCTAGAGTCTCCTTTGGATTCTGTGTCTCCCTCTCTCTGCCCCTCCCATGATCGTGCTCTGTCTCTCTCTGTCTCTCAAAGATAAATAAACATTAAAAAAAATTTTTAATTAGGCATACTTGAACAGACACCTCACCAAAAAAGATGCAAGGGTGGGAAAAGCACACGAGAAGGCGCTCCGTCTCTGTAGACGGACGGGCACGGAGTCCAGCCCAGGCGCCGCCGCGCACCCAGCAGGGTGACCACCGACTGCACCGCATGTTGACAAGGACATAGAACGAGCAGGCCCCGCGCCCGCGGGAATCAAATCAGCACAGCGGGCCGGAAGGCGGTTTGGCGAGTTACACACCTACCTCGTGGCCAGACATCCCGGGGCTGGGTGTTTACCCAAAAATCCGGAACCCAGGTCTGTACAGAGACCTGCACGCAAGCGCGCACAGCAGCTCGACTCAGTGCCAAGCTGGAGACACCGCAGTGCCCCGTCTGGTGAGCACGTCAACGCTTGCTGGGAACCCGAAAACCAGACCCCACTCCGCAGTAACAAGGAGCGAGCCGTCCACACATACAAGCTGCAGCATAGACGAATCTCCAGCCGACTGAACGGCAGAGTCCAGGCAAAGCGAGGCAGATGCCCCAGAATCACACTTGCCTGAAACTCAGGAGATACCAACTATGACAGCAACAGCAAGGGCGAGGGACCCCACGGTGGCACGGGAGGCTTTGGGGTGATAAGCACACTCCTCTTGATTTTGAGGATAGTTTCACAAATCTAGGTTAAAACGTGTAAGCCTGTGCGCTTTGAAAACTGGGGTGTTTTGCAGGGCAGTGATACTTCTGTTATTAAACCTGTTACCCAGACACAGCTCCCGCCAGTGTCACAGCCCATGGCCTCCCCTCTGATGCCCCGGCCCCTCCCTCCTGGGACGGGGCTCCAATTTGATGTTAGATTTGGGGGCCAGGCACCCACTCCCGGCCTCTGGCCGCCCAGGACTTGACCTCCAAGCCCACACCCCCTTGCAGAGGGCTGTCCCTGGACCAGCGATGGGCCAGCACGCTGGCTGGCAGATGTCCTGGTTGAGCCCCTTCAGTACCAGAGCTTCCCGGGGGATTGGCCGAGCTCTCCCGTGCAGCCACACGAGGGTCTGCTTCCCCTATGACCCCACCCCACCCTCCCAGCTCCCCAACGGGCCTCGCCTGAGAGCGTACCCCCAACTCGGGGCTCACAGTCTGCTCCCTGGGAGGCCAGCCTGGGCACAGCTCAGGTCCCACTCCAGGCTGCTCTTTCTTGCTGACCAGGGACTCCCAGGAGCCTGGCTGGTGGCACGTGGGTGCACGTGTGTGTCTGCCGCCCACGGGGGGGTTCCAGGTAGGGAGCTGGGACTTGGGAGGAGACCCTACGCCGGGCCTGACCGTGGTGGGGACCAAGCTGCTCTGTCTGCCCCTCCCAGGGAAGAAACAAGCCCTGCTCCGGCAGCAGAAGCTGATGAGTAGGCGGCCGGAAGCCGCACACATCTGGGGAGTGCTCTCGCCCCCCCCATCCCGTCTGAATCACAAAACCTCAGTGGGATGCATGGAGGCCAGAGCCCACCTGGACGCAGAACTCAAGACTCAGGCTCCAAGGTCAAGACAAGTGTGTGGCGAAGCCAGGAAGAAACCCAGGCCAGGCTCCCCTCTCCGGTGCTCCCCTCGCTCGCACACGCGGCCAGGGCTGGGCATACCCGCCCAGCCCCCGGAACCCGCCACCCAGGGATGGGCACAGGCAGTCACCATGACGTCCGGGACCGCGTCCATCGGAGGTAAACAGCTCCTGAGCGTCTCCGTGGGTGGGAGCGTGTACAGGCTCTGCAGGCAGGTCTGCAAGATCCTGGACTTGACCATGGGTTTGAGACTGGGCCGAAGGTTGCTGGAAGAAACACGGAGAAGATTCTGGACTTTTTCACAAGAGCCCACAGTCTAGAAAGTGGGTGTCACCAGGATCAGGGCCCGGAGTGTGACCAGATTCAGGGCTCAGTGTGACCAGGGTTCAGGGTGTGACCAGGGTCATGTCTCGGAGTGTGACCGGGGTCAGGGCTCAGGCTGTGACCAGGGTTCAGGCTGTGACCAGGCTCCGGTGTAACTGAGGCCTGGATGTGGTGTGTGACCAGGTCGGGGGTCAGTCTGTGTCAGTGTAACACCCTGTCACGGACAGGAAACGAGGCTGACGGTGTGTGGCCTCAGCAGGGCCAGCCCCGTGCTCCTGGCTCCTTACTCACAGCCTATCTCCTCACACGTGGACCCCCCACCCCCACCCCCCACGCAGTGACCTGGCCCGTCTTCGTTCCTGGACCCCAAGGAGAGTCACCTCAGTCCCGCGATGACCAATATGATCTTCTGCCGGAAGAGGGTGGCCAGGAAGTTGGGCTCCTTCTGAAGGCTGGACTGTGGGGCCAGAGCGCCAGTCGGCTCAGCCGCAGTCCCGCTGGTGGCCCCTGGGACCCCTGACGGGCGGCCCCTCGGGCGTCACTCACCAGGAGGCACTGGATGAGCTCTGGGATCTGCGTGAACTTGTAGCTCTGCGCCCTGTTCTTCTGCCTGAGAGCCTTCAAGAGCATGATGGTCGCCGAAAGGAAGCTCGTTTTGAGGATGTTGTCCTGTCCGTGCAGAGTCGGGGGAGGGTCAGCGGGCTGGGCCCAGCCCCCCACCGCCCCCCGCCGCCCCGGCCCGGGCCGGGCTCACGTAGCGGCTGCAGGAGAAGTAGTACACCATCCTGGACACGATGTTGTCCACCCAGGGCAGGATCTGCTCCCCGGCGTGCGCGGCCATCTGCCCGTAGCACAGCAGGGAGGTGCTGCCAACCCACGTCCAGCGCGTGTCCGGGTCCGGCTGCTGCGCACAGGGAGGGCGGCCCCGGGGAAGCTCGCCTCCCCCCCACCCCCGCCTCCCCGCCTGGCGCCTCAGGACTGTGTCCCGCGGCGGGCGGTGCCGCCTCCAGGCGGCCCTGGCTCCGCACCCCTGCTTCCCCTCCAGGGGTCTCTGGGCCTCGTGTGGGGCCCCAAGGACCACGCTCACGACTGCCAGGCCACAGCAAGAGCAGGGAAGCTGACACGCACGCACCAGCGCCTCAGGGAGGTGGGCAGGCAGGGGTCACCCCGTGTTTCCAGCGAGCAAACAGGCTCGGAGCACGCAAGTGACGATCTCAGGCCCCTGGCCCCTGCCGCCCCCACGCGGCCCTCTCTACCTGGCTGTCTGGGGACATGAAGACGGTCCTCAGGAACCTGGTGCGGCCCACGTGCTCCAGCATGGCCCACGCTTCCTGCATGTGCGTGGAAGACGCAATGCCGACGGCCATGGCAATGCCCTGTGGGCCTGAGGGTGCTGTGAGCCGGTCCCGGCAGTGCTGGCCGTGGCCTGCGTCTCCTGCCCCCACCCCCCGCCCCGCCGTCCCGAGGGCCCCGCCCCTGCCCTGATGCGTGTGCATCCCGCGGGGGCCACCGGGGCGTGGACAGGTCCCCGAGGTCACCACCAGGCAGCACCCACGCTGGCGGCCCCTTGTTGATCAGCACAGTGCTGGGTGCCATGGTCTGCCTTCAAGTAGCAAGGTCCACAGGGGAGGCTCAGGGCGGTGCAGGGGTGGGGGGCTGCCACCCACCTCCCGCTGGCTGGAGGACTGGTGGGACAGCTCCAGGAGGCTGGCCAGGTGCCTCCTCACCAGGTCCACACAGTTACACTCTCTGAGGATCAGTCCGTATAAGTGGAAGAGGAAGGTCTGGGGGAGGAAGGAGGGGGCGGGTGTCGGCCAGAGGGTCAGGGGACGCGGGCGGCCGCCACCGTGGGGCCAGGGGCAAGTGAAGTTGGGGAGCCAGTCCTGAGCACTTCCCCCCGCCCAGCCCCAGGCTGCTGTGCCCACTGTGTGCATGAGGCTGGAGGAGGGGGGTCACCGTGGCACCCCCTCCCCTGCCCACTGGGCACCACCACCACCCCCGCCCACTGGCACTGCTTCCTCACCTGGCCTGGGCTGCAGCCAGAGACTGAGCGCCAAGTTTCGTGGGTCCTGCAGGCCAGTACCCAGATGCCATGTTCTCTGTGGCGCCTCAGTTTGCCCCAGCCGGCCTCATCTTGCTCCCGTGGCCCCCGGCTCCCTGAGCTGGGCCTAAGTGGAGCCCCGTGCAGGGCCGAATGGTCACACAGACCTCCCTGCCCGCTCACCTCAGGAGTCCCCGGCAGAGCTGCACCCCTCTTTTCGTGTGGACACGGGACCCTGCATTCAGAGCCTCCCAGAATTCCCCTTTGTCTCTCTCTTGATGAAAACGCGTGCCCTCCCCATCGGGTAGCACTGCTTGAACAGAGGGCACTGTCACTGCTGGCCTAGGTGCCGAGTGAGGCTCCCTCGCGGAGCGTAGGGCCCGTGCACGCAGGTGCTGCCGCCCTGGGCTCCGCCGCATCCCTGGGGCCCGGCAGGGGCTGGCTGGCCGCTAGCCAGGGCTCAGCAAACACGAAGTGGCCCCGAGGCCACTGTCCCCGTAACAGCACCCCTCGCACCATCCTGGCTTCGTCCGTGTACACAGCTTCAGATCCTGAGAGTCACTTGGGGAGCGGGGGAGGGGCCGGGGCAGCCTCCTGGGGGGCTCTGGGCACACGGAGGAGACCCTGGGCAGCCCCACCCCAGGCACTGACCTTCTCCAAAGGCTGCTTGAGCTCTAGGTTCAAGGGCGCCAGGAGCTCCTGGATGCCAGCACTGGGCGCCTCCTTTGCGATGAGCTGCAGGCAAAACACAGAACTCAGGCCCCACCTGACCCTCTGGGTGGAGCTGGCCCCCGAATCCACTGGGAAACCCCCAGGATGGAAACTCAGGGTGGACCCCTGTGGGGGAGCAGAGAAGACAAGCCACTCCCAAAGGGTGAGGAGATGTTTGGGGGTGCTGCCAGAGGGCTGTGCCCACCTCTGCCTGATCCCGGCAGCCCCTGCCTGTAGGACGGAGGCTGCACCCCTTAAGGTAGCTGGTGAGCCCGTGACAGCCTGGCCCTGGCGTTGTTCCCCACCCTCCCGTGCTGCCATCTTGCTGGCCTCAGGGCCTTTGCACAGACTCTTCCCACTGGCTGGATTTCCCTCCCTGCCCTGCTCTCCGAGCACGGGCTAGCCATCGGCCAGGCTCCAGGGGCCCGAAGCCAAGCTGTGTGTGTGCTTGGGGCCCATCCCCCTCTGCAGGCACAGTCCCTGCTGCCATCCCCTCCTACTCTGCCCGAAGCCCTGGAGAATCTGGAGCAAGAATGTGGAGGACAGGGGCCAGGAGGAACCCACCCAACCTGGGAGCTGAGCCGCGGCCCGTGGTGGGTGAGGCCTTCACACTGGACAGAAGGCCAGAGCATGTGGGGTGTCAGGGAAGAGCAGGGCCTGGCGCCCCACAATGGCAGGAGGCCAGAGCTGGGGAGCCTCCTGCAGCCCACGGGTCGGGGGGCCCCCAGGCACAGAGGTGGGGCAGGCACCAAGGCCTGGGGGCATGCGGCTCCCGGGCCCACACCTGCTGCCGGGCTCCAGTGACGACGTCTGCGCCCCACCTGCCCCTCAGCATGTGCCCCAACACCTTCCTGCCTTCTGGCACCTTCTGCCGCACATCCCGGTGGTCCGGGGCTTCGAGGACAGCCGAGGCCAGCGGGAGCCAAGCGGCGGTGCGGGCCCGGGGCTCAGGGAGGCTCCCTGCGGCCTGCGGGCCCTGCATGGCAGAAGGTAGCGCCCCGCACGGAGGGGCGGGGCTCCCGGGGCCCACCTGGGTGCGCTCCTGGATGTGGTGCTGGATGGTCTCCAACACCAGGCTCTTCTGCAAGGCTGACATGGCCCTGATGTTGCTGACGAGCGCCTCCTCCCACAGGGGCCTGTCTCTCGGGGACTTGCTCAGGAGCGCCCCGCCTGGGTGCCCTGCAGAGGACACCAAAGCAGCCTGGTGCGGGGGCGCCGAGCGGAAGCCCGGACCTCCCGGTTCTGGATCCCGCTGGCTCACGGGGCCCAAAGGACTTTCTTTACGGTGGGTCTGCAGGGAACCCGGTGTGAGCACAGCCAGGAGGCAAACGCAGAGGGCAGCCTCCACCCCGGGCACCAGGGCACAGCACCCGCAGAGCCCGGCCGGCCGCGTGGAGGGAACGGGCCTCGTGACGGGACACCAGACTCCAGCCCAGGAGAGTTGCCCATCGTCGGGAGTACGAGTGTAACCCAGGTCCCTGCCCTACTTCTCACACCAAAATAGGGGCGCCTGGGTGGCTCAGGTGGTTAAATGTCCGACTTCGGCTCAGGTCATGATCTCACGGTTCATGGGTTCGAGCCCCGCATCGGGCTCTGTGCTGACAGCTCAGAGCCTGGAGTCTGTTTTGGATTCTGTGTCTCCCTCTCTCTCTGACCCTCCCCTGCTCACGCTGTCTCTCTCTCTATCTCAGAAATAAATAAAAAACTTAAAATAAAAATAAAAAGCAGGCAGTTATGACTTTTGAGTTTCCCAGTGACAACTGTGGACACACCACGCAGACGCGGCTTTGTTATCTAGAAATCCCAGAGCAGAGGGGCTTTCTGAACACGACACAGAGCGAAAGCACTTTTAGAGTTAGTGACATCGGCTTAGGGCCCAAGCCATGGCTACAGCCCACCGCACGGTAAACACCTACCACACAAGGCCAATACCGATGTGCCGGACTCTTCTGTGTCAGGAGAGCCCTGTGTCACCACAGGGAGGGGCGGAGAGGCGCCCAGAGACGCTGGGGACCAGTAAAGTCACAAGGCCCCGCACCAGCAATACAAGAAACGCAAACTGATGGGGCACCTGGGTGGCTTAGTCGGTTAAGCGTCCGACTTTCGCTTAGGTCGTGATCTCGCGGTTCGTGGGTTCGGGCCCCGCGTCGGGCTCTGTGCTGACTGCCAGCTCGGAGCCTGGAGCCTGTTTCAGTCTGTGACTCCCTCTCTCTCTTACCCTTCCCTGCTCACGCTGTCTCTCTCTCTCTCTCTCCTAGAAATAAATAAAACATAAAAAAAATTTTTTAAAAAAAAAAAAAAGAAAGAAACGCAAACTGAAACCACAAGGAGACGGGACTCCTTCCGTCAGCTCACCGAGGCACAGGGGCAGAGGGGCGAGAGGTGGGGACGCTGTCCCAGCCCGGGACGTGGGCGCAGGGACCGTCCTCTGAGAGATGACAGCAGCTCTCAGATCTAAACGAAAACCGCGTTTGTTCGGAACCACCACAGCCTGGGAGCTTCCTGAGAACCAAGTCCTCTCACACGTTTTACAAAGACCATCGATGATGCTTCTTTGATCTGGAGGAAGGGGGGGCGGTGCAAGGCCCGCGCCCTGCTGCCAGTGGAAACAGTCAGGCCTGGGGTCAGGCACCGGTGGGCCCCACACTGCCGTCTCGACCGTGGGCCAGGAGCCAGCATCCGGCGCTCAGCCCTCTCGGCCACCGCGGGCCCCTTATCAACCCCCTGGGGGCTGCTGGTGGGTCCGAGCACGCCCCACTTCGGGCTCCCCCACCCCTGGCTGACCCACAGCAGGGCCACCGCTCGAGGCCAGTGCTGGGCCCAGGCTTACCGAGGCTTGTTAGGTGGCCTCCCTAGTGGCACTTGACCCGCTGCCGTCTGGGTCGGTCTCTTGTTTCATTCATTCATTCATTCATTCATTCATTCATTCATTCAGAGCTTGTTGGGATCTATTACTTGCCCAGCACTGGAACCACAGATAAACCCAAAATACTTGTGTACTCGTGTTTGCAGCACTCTCAGGGGCCGGCGCCCCCAGAGCAGGTCAGGGCCACGGGAGGCTGCTGGCACTGACGCAGTGCCCTTCCCCCCAGGCCTGCTCCCAGGCAGCTTTGGCCCCCAATCCCTTCTAGGGGGTGGCCTGGGCGGGTGGGGAGAGCAAAGCCTCCAAATCAAGCCTCGCCTGCTTTGTCAGACTCCAGAGACAAAGCCCTTCCAGAAGTTTCCATCAGGTGTGCACGGAGGCAGCCCTTGGCACCCTGCAGACACAAGACCACGGCGCCCTCCGTGACGCCCTTGGCTCTGCGCCCACACCCCGCACAGAGCAGACACTTAGCAAACGGAAACCAAGTGACCTGAAACAGAGGCCCAGGGGGAGGGATGCGCTCTGAGCTGGGGGGGCCAGGGGGGGGGAGACCAGGACAGTGCTGTCCGGAGGCCCCCCCAGTGGGCCCCGGCTCCACACAGCCCCCGGCCCACCTGCTTACCAGCATTGAGCTCCTCCTCCCCTGTGGGCGACAGGCAGCTGGACCTCCAGTGGGGACAGAAGCCCTCACTGGGCGTGGCCTCCATGGACAGTGTCACCTTCCGGGAGAGCAGGTTCTGGGGCAGGGACAGAGGGTGGGGACAGTCAGACTTGCCTAGGAGAGGCCAGAGAACACTGGGGGCCCCCTCAGTCACCCCAACCTTACAGGGTCCCACCCCAGCCAGTCACCCCAACCTTACCAAGGCCCCGTCAGTCATGCAGCTCTGTGAGTTCTGGGGACCTAGGGAAGGAGGGAAGGATGAGCTGACATTCAAGGCCATCGGGTCCTTACCGGGCCCCAGGCTCCCCTCCCCAGAGGCTCTGGGGTTCGATATCCTGAGTGCGTGGCGGTGACCACACGGGCCTCCCACGGTCCAGGCATCCGCAGCCCAGGGGCATCGTGGACGGGTCCAAGGAGCTTTAGCAAAGCCTTTCCAGGAGGCCAGGGGACCGGAGCCCACCCTGGCCTGGGCCTGGGCGGAGGACTCAGGCGCTCTGACCGCCTTGCGGCCCATTCGCAGATGTTTTTCACATGTAAAGCTTGTTTAAAAGATTGTGAAAGATAACAGCCCCCACAAGGGGAATCTCAGCTAAGACCCCGGGTGCACACAGACCCCCACAGACGCACACTTCCGGGAATTTAATCTATGGAAAAATGAGAAATTCACCTACTCAAAGGTGCTTCACGGATCTAAAAAGCTATGTTCAAAAATAGAGGAAGGGACGGCAGTGGTCAAAACTCATGCTTCTAACGACTGTTTAATGATGAGGGGAAATGCTTAGGATCCCACAGGGAATAAAAAAAATTTATGATTCAAATTTAAAATCAGAAATCATCTCCGGGAGTCAGGATGGGGGGGGAGTGTTTCCTGTACCCTTTGCAACGATTTGCAACCTGTGTGCAGTGAGCGGGGCCTACCCTTACGCATGCGCCTCGGAAACCAAACATGATGTGAGGTTAAAAACAAAGGTAAGAAGGGGCGCCAGGGGAGCTCAGTCGGTTAAGCGTCCGACTTTGGCTCAGGTTGTGATCTCACAGTCCATGAGTTCAAGCCCCGCATTGGGCTCTGTGCTGACAGCTCAGAGCCTGGAGCCTGCTTCAGATTCTGTCTCCCTCTCTCTCTGCCCCTCCCCTGCTCACACTCTGTTTTTCACAAAAATAAATAGTCAGGGGACACTACCTCGAGCCCTGCGGACAGCTGGGCCCTATGGTGGGGAGGCTAAACAGGGGGGCTCTGCCCAGTTCTGAGTTCCGAGGACCCTGAGAAGAAGACAGGGTGGGGTCAGGCCCAGGCCTGGAGGGTGGGGGTCTGCTCAGGCCTGGGAGGGGCCAGTGTTGGGGGAGAGGTTCACAGGGGGCAGGATAGCAGCGTCCAGCAGACATCCGAGCCGCTAGGAGGCAGTGACGGCTCAAGGTCACCAAGCACCACCAGACAGCAAAGGATTTATTCTCTGCGGAAGCCCCGTTGATGAGGGTGGGGGCAGATTTTGAGGACATTTGTGAATTCACAGGGTTGGGAGCAAAGCCAGGCCGAGGTGACCCTGAGAGGCCTTGCTCCTATGACCCGGGGGACTGTGCCGCCCCAGGCAGGAGCAGCCCCCTGCCAGGCTTTCCTCAATGTCATTTGGAGGTCACCGGAGGCCCCTGTTAAAGTCATCTGTAGTTGCGAGCCCGGTGCCCTGAGTGCTGGGGGGTGGGGTGGGGGCATCTAGAAAGGCCTGTGGGCGTGACCCCATCCGGACTTCTGCCCGTGGCTCAGGTGGGGGCAGTACCTCCGAGAGCGGCCTCCTGAGTCTCCGATCCTAGGGCCCAATGGGGACTCGTCTCTTGAGAAAGTGAGTCCAGAAACCAGGTTTCCCCACTGGCCCCGGTTCCCAACAGCCGCCCTGTCCTGAGAATTCCGCCCCCAACTGACATCGTGGCCACTTGAGGGCCTTCCGGGCGCGCGGGGCCGGGAGTGTGGCTCCTGAGCCTGGACGCTGACCCAGACAGGCCCGAGAGGGGCACCCTCCCTGCCTCGTCCCCGCCGGGGAGCACCCACCTCGGGCTGCCACTCAGGCCTCGCTCACGGGGCTCCTGCCTGCTTCCGGCCGGCACCCTGAAGACCCTTGGGGGCGTATGTCCCCAGCTCCATCATCCGGGTGCTGCCCGGGGCCAGGCCCCCAAAAGCCCAGAGAATATAAAATGGGGACAGACTTGCCACCACCTGCCAAGGGTGAATTCAGTGATGTCTGCCCTTGATGTGCACACGGAGGTGCAGCCATACCCACCCCCCAGGGGAAACCGAGCCCCCCCACCCCCCATGTCCTCCCCAAGGGATCCTCCCCTGCCCCACCCGCCCACCTCACCATCCCCCAGGGCAGCTCAGTGACTGAAAGCCGCCTGCGGCCAGGACAGCCCAGTGTCCCCTCCCTGCCAATGGCCACAGGAGGCCTCCGCCGCCCCCTCGGCCCAGGACCCCGCCCCCTGGCTCCACCGAGCCTCCTGAGAACTGCATGCGGGGTACCAGCCCTAGGAGCCTCTACCTGTTAAGAGCTCTCCTCCAGAGATGCCCCCGCCCCTGCCCCTTGGGGGCGACTGAAGCGGTCCCCTTGAGAGGGTCCCTACCTGTGTCTGGGACGCTCCTGAGGGCACCTCTGATCAACAGTGGGGCTCTCCAGTTCCTGGCGCAGAGAAAATCCCGGAGCTGCAAACCCTGAGACAGGAGAGCCCCTCCCCTTGGATGAGCTCGGGGTGAGGCCCCAGCAGGCCGGCAAGAAGAACCCCCCCGCCCCTTAGGGCCACGGCAGCCACGAGCAGGCGCTGGAGGGGTCTGGGCCCCTGGGGGTGGCCCCCAGCTGTCCACGGGGGAGGTTTCCGCCATTAGTGCCATGGGAGAGGGAGATCCCAGACTCAGGGGGAACAGGGAGCCCCGGCCTGTGGCTAGCTGGCCTGAGGCCCCATCGAGAGGCTGGGAGCCAGGTGAAGAGAGAAAGACCCAGAATGAGGCCTCCCCCAGGACGGGCATTTTGGAAGCCGCCACCCGGAGGCCCTTCTGCCTGGGGTTGTGGGTGTTTCTCTCTGTGCCTGTGCCCCTGGCTCCCTGGCAAGGCCACAGCTCTCTGACCCGTGAAGGGTATTTGGTAGGGAGGGTGGGGCGAGGGGGGCCCTGAGGGACACATAAGGGGCTTTCCCAACCCCCACAAGCCCTTTGAACCATTTGCCACGAGAAGAGGGGCCAGAGTTGACCCAGGATGTGTCGGGGGGGGCGGGGAGCTGGCTAACAACCCTCAGCACGTCCAGATCACAGTCAGGTGGAACCACACTTCCAGGCCACGCTGCGGCGATGTGACTCCGGAGGGCACGTGGCCGCCCTCAAGGGCCCACATCTGAATGGGGACCTCAGTCCCCGGACCTCGCGGTGGCACATGCCGTCTCTATGGTGACGAAGCTGTCTGGGGAAGAAGTGAGCCGTGCACTTCGCAGGGGGTAGGCTGGGCACTAGGTGGCCTCTGCTTCGAAGGTCTGAGCAGAAGGCAGGCCACGGGCAGGGGCCATGGGCAGGGGCCACGGGTAGGGGCCACAGACGGGCCAGGACTGGGCAGGCAGCCACTTTGAGTGTAGAGCAAGTGGTGGTTCTGAGCAGAAGTGGGGGTGAGGGGCGCTGGGGCATTGGGAAGCACCCCACGGTGGGTCCCGGCCCAGGAGAGGGGCTTAGTGCCCCCAGGCTGCATGCTCGGCGGGTGCCCCCCAGAGGCTGGGAGCGCGGCACGGGAGCTGGGAGACATCCTGCTGCCTGGAGGGGGGCGTCCTGGAGGAGGAAGAGAGGGGGCTGGGGGAAACTGAGGCCTGGGTTTGGCTGGAGAACAAGGGCTGCAGGGCAGGCAGTGTGCCGTTTGCCCAGGAGCCGGCGAGGTCCAAGGCGGCCACAGTCAGAAGTCAAGCAGTGGCCGGGACTCAAAGGGCCAATTTCTAGACAGGAGAGTGCAGGTGCCAGAGGTGTGGCCGTCGCCCTTGGGTTGGGGACCAAAGATGGGAGGAGGCAGGAGGGTGGCCCTCACCCTGGAGTGGGCATGGAATCAGGGGCAGCCCGGGAAGCCTTCCTGGAGGAGGCAAGAGAGGGACACTGGATGATCTTGCGGAGGGGGACCATTGTGAGAGGAGGGGCAAGGACCGGCAGGCTGAGGTGGGGGACATGGGGGCACTGACTGTGGCAGCGGTGAGGAGCAGGGGAGGGGGACGGGGTGGAGGAACCCTACTTCGACTCCAGAGCAGTGTGGCTTTTGGAGACAGAAGGGCTGTGGGGCTGCTCAGGGGCAGGAAGTGGACCCCGGGGCCCGGTGTGGGCAGGGCGCCAGGCGAACGGGACAGGACAAGCCTGAGGGGTGGGGACAAGCCGCGTAGTGGCCAAGGTCAAGGTACCTGTGGGTGGCCCCAGGGTGCTGTGGGAGGACAGCCAGGGGCAGAGGGGTCCCGAGCGGGGGCCGCCGGAGTGGACTGAGTGCCCAGGGGGAGGCTCCGTTCCTGGGGCCTCCCAGGCAGCCGTCCGAGGGCCGTCCGCCCTCCAGCCCCGCGGTGGGGGGTCTTCTCTCGCGGCTGCAGCTGAGAAGGCCCTGCCTGGCGCACGTCCTCAGGGCCCCTGAACTTGGCCTCAGTTCCTCAGCTGGGGTTTGAAAACCCAGAATCAGGTGCGTAGAAATGGAGACGGCAGACAGAGCCGCGTGGGGGTGCCGGCCCCCCACTGGGACGCACACCCAGTCAGGGGGAGGCCCTGGACAGCATGAGCCCTTGGGTCACCCTGGGGAGCCTGGGAGCCCACGGAGGGGCGCGCTCCACGCCCGAAGTCGATTGATCTGTGAGTTTTACCAGGATGACTTGCTCCCTGCCACCCGAGGGCCCGTGGAGGCCGGCAGAGCCAGGGAGGCAGGGCGGCTTCAGAGGGACGGATGCCTCCCTGGCGGGGAGAGGAGGGATGGGGAAGACAGGGGCCCCGCAGAGTCCTGTCTCAGCCCACGGCTCCCCGTGACAGGCTGTCACCATCTGACTCACTTATTCAACATATGATAATTGAACACCCAGAATGTACTGTCCCCCGTCAGCTCCAAAGGAAGAAAAAGGGGCTCAGCCTGCCAGGGAGGCAGACTCGTAAACCAACAGTCATTCAACAGTGCGCAGTGGAAACCGGCCAGTGCTGCCTGGGAGAATCAGGGCAGGCGTCCCGGAGGAAGGGGCATTTGAGCTGGGGCTTGAAGCATAGGGAGGAGTTTGCCAGACTCCAAGGAGAGAAGGTGCTGCAGCACGCGGTGGAAACGGCATAGGAAGGCCTGGAGCAGGGCAAGCTCGGTCCAGGGGGTGCCGCGTGCGAGGGTGGAGCCCCGGGAAGGGGGTGCTTGGGGGGGCGCACGTGGCCCCCACGGCAGGAGGCAGGGGTGGCGGGGTGGGGTGGGGTGGGGGTGAGGGGTGGGTATCCTTTGCAAGTGCAAGGCTCTGGATTTGGTTTTGCCTTCTGGCAGGAGGAGGTTCGGAGGCTTCAGAGCAGCAGGAGGGAGCCGGGCGAGGGTGTGGCCGCAGGAGCCGCCCCGTTGCCTGGTCACCATCAGGCTTCGCTCCACGCTTCAGACAATGCCCGGGGCGGCCTCGGAGGCCCTTCCCAACATTCTCCTGGGTCCGGGCTCTGGGTCCCTGCTCTGCCCACAGATGGGGCCAAGGAGGGGAGGCTGGGCAGGGGCGCAGGGGGACTTCAAGATGCCCACAGCCAAGCAACCCGGGGCCAGGGCTTGCCCCCCCACCACGGCCAAATCCCACAGGGCCCCTCCCGCCTGGCCAGCCCTGGTGCCCACCTCCCACACGTCAGAGCAGGGCCTGGGGGCGGCCCGGCCTCCACCATCTGCCCGGGTAGGAGCTGGGGCGCATGGAGGGCACGGCCCGCGTGGGCTGCGTCTGGGGGCCTGGAGTCCTCTGCCGCTTCCTGGCCACGCCCACAGGTCCAGCCCTGCCCTTTGGGGGTAGTCGCCTGGAGCAAGGAAGACGGGACACTTGAAGGGAAGTCCCCACGCACAAGGCGGGGGGGGGGGGGGGGGGGGGGGGGGTTGGGTAGCGGCTGTAGCAGGAACGGGGTGGGGGGAGGGGCGCTGAGTGGTGCGGCAAGGGCTCCGGCGTGTCAGCTCGGCTTAGATCCCCAGTCAGTGGACGCCCCCCCAAGCCGCCCTCTCACAGCCCCGCAGTCGGAGTGGGCGCCCCGAGCCAGTGTGGGAAGTCCACGCCCCGTCCTGCCTCGTGTGGCCGCAGGACAGGAGGCCACCAGGACCTGCGGAGGGACGTCCTCGTTCCCTGGGGACCCCCTTCCTCTCCCACTTCACCGCCTGTCCCTGCCGTCACTGGCCCCTCGGACACCACGTCCTCGTCACCCCTCCGTCCCCCACGTGACCGTGAAACCCCGAAGTCGCCTCCGGGCCCCGGCACCCCACAGACGCGTCATGGCACTCAGGGACGGCCATGGTGCAGATGACAGGAGACCGTCCCCTACGCGGGCTTCCTGCGGGCCGGGCCCCCAGCAGGGGTGTGGCCCTGAGGTCAGACCTTCAGTCTTCTGGGGCCCGTGACCAGCTTCTCTCCACCCCCACGGGGGACATCACGGACACCAAGCGGAGGGAACGCGCCGTCACTAACAATGTGCTGGGACAAAGGTGTGGTTTCTCCCTCAAGGGCCACCTTGGTGGCAGCGTGCGGTGACAGCTGCGGAGTCATGGGGGGTGAGGACATAGGGGGGTCCCTCCACCTCCAGGGTTTGACGGTCGCTTGACAATCCCTTTACCCTTTCCCTGGCCGCCTCTCCACGGCTGGAGCTA